TCCAGATGACGTACGAGACGCCCATGCCTGACATGCCGGTGAGGAAGAGTCTGCGTCGGCCGAACTTATCCACCATGGTGGCGAAGACGCAGGCCGAGAGGAAACCCCAGATTTGCAGTCCTGCGTTGATGAGGAGCTGGGTCTTGTGGTCGGTAACATTGATCGAGTTGAGCACCCTAGACAAGTTTGTTAGCTATTGAGACGGTCACAAAAGGGATTAGGTTCAAAACTGACTTTGAGAGGAAGTATGAGGTCAAGGCGTTGCCAGACCACTGCAGCATGGCAGGAATGTACAGAGCCAAGAACAAGCGATGCCAGTTGCCGCGGGTCGAGATCCATTGCACCCAGCGCGACCTCTTCTGCACCTTTTCCACCTCGAGCGTGGCCGTGATCTCAGCCATCTCGAAGCGAGCAAGCCGGGAGTTGGGGTCCCCGTAGCCGTGCCACTTGACCAATATATCTCTCGCCTCCTTGTAGCGGCCCTTGTAAATCAGCCATCTGGGCGACTCGGGGCAGAAGAATACCAGAGACGCCTGGATGACGGAGCAGACGCACTGCAACAAGCTGGGAAGACGCCACGCCCACGAGTTGCCCATCTTGAAGGTGCCGAACGTGACCCAGGCGGCGATGAGGGCACCCAGCGGCCACGAAACCATCATGAAGGAGACGACCTGTGCGCGGTGGGTAGGGTACGTGACTTCAGACAGGAGCGGCGGGGCGGCCGTCGAGATGATGCCGAGTCCGAAGCCGATGACGAAGCGGGAGGCGACGAACATGCCGTAGTTGAGGGACCAGGTCTGGATGATGGAGCCGACGATGATGAGAATAGAACCGCCAAAGATGGGCTTCCGGCGGCCGAGCCAGTCGCAGAGCTGAGAGGAGACGAGGATGGAGATGAGGACGCCGCCGTTGGGACCGAACGTCATGGCGCCGAGGCGCGTTCCTTTCGGCTCGCCAAAGAACTCCTGCCACTGCGGCAGGGACTGCATGCCATTGAGCATGCTGGCGTCGAAGCCCGTTGCCGTCTGGGTCAGGAGACCGCTGAGGAGCAGGAGGTTGAGCTTCCACAGGGTCCCGTCGCTGTACCATGGCTTACGATCGTGAGGGATGACATCGGCGAGGACGAGGCCTTGAAAGTCGTCGCTGTCGGCTCCGGGCGAGTGGACCTCTTCGGTGATTGGCTTTGCCATTGTGATGTCGTCGTCTCGTCGGTTGAGTTACCGTTGTCAACTTTGTCGTTGTCTCTTGGGATACTGACTCAGACTTGAACGGGCTGCTGAGTTGCGGGCCTGCAGGGTAGTAGTGAATCTGGCGCAACGGTCCTTTATATCTCGAGACGAACTGGCAGTTGGGACAGTTGGAGTCGCGATGCGAATGCGGAATAGCGCCGGCTTGCCTACCATCCAGTACATTGACCGATGCCCCCTTTCAAGTTTTCCCCATGGGCAAAGCAGCAACTACCCCGGCTGCCAGACAAACGCGGAGGAAGCTAAGGTTGAATCAGACCACTGCGCCGGTATCCGTAGACTGTCACAACTGGCCTTGTTCGAATGGTGGTGGCTGGCGACGCTTGTTGGTGCGCATCGAAAAGCGCCGGGGACGCCTTTACCCCGATGCCCGATGCAGCATCACGTGGAGTAAGAGGTTTTACCCCAGATCTTCCCCAGGTTCCTCCTCTTTCTCCTCACGAGTTCTCTTCTTCTCCGGGGTGTCTTCTCCCCACGCGACTCCTCGACTCCTCATCACACCAAGATTCGCCCCCGGCCATACGTGCCCAGTTTCGGGGAATAAGAGCCGGCGGTGCTTGTCTGAACCTCGGGAGGCCGATCCCCCGGTATCCTCGTACCCCGGGCAACGGCGTTTTCGACGGGCTTCTTACGTCGAGATGCCGAGACACGGGGAGGATGCGGCGCAAGCTAGCGACATGAAGCGAAAGCTTTTTCAAGAGACGAACCACACTACGTCACGGGTGACCTTCTCTTAAGATGGCTCGCCTTATTTGAAAGCGAAGTCTCCTCGGGTATCCACAACCAGCAGCGTGTTGATGAAGACATCTACTACGGAGCCAGTGTTTAGAATCCCAAAGTCCAAAGCACAGTGTATTGAAGCTACAAGTAAGTCATTGTTGGTTACTTTGTCAAATGTTGCCAAGGCACTGGGTGCACAATCAGCATGCAGTGATGTTTGCTTGATGCAGTTGGAATCCAACGAACCTACATATACTCGGAGGGCATTACCCTGACGGGCCATGCGCGCCCATGCTGGCAGAATCCGACCAGCGAAAGTCTATCAGCTGACCATCGTGGTTAATTGAGCGGTGTAAAGCACTCGCCGCTCGTCTCTTGCCAGCAAGGGCAGAAATTTCTCGTAGGCTTTGGTCTAGAACCAGGGGGCAGACTGGCAGACTCTTCCACAACGTGATCTACGACTTGTTACGAAGATCGACCAATGGCTTTATGCTTACATGATTGCCCAGAAAAAAGCCGCAATTCTATCTTTCAACGATTCTGGGCCCTCGAAGCGCCGACACGCCCACAGCCTCGAACGCGATGCGATCTTGTGTATTGCAACCGTGGTATATTGCCTCCTTTAGTGGAAGCAGTTAAACTTTGCTTTTTTTCTGCATTTGATCAGATCAAAAAGGCGTGTAGCACGGTGCTAGTATCGCGCTGATGATGGAAGCACTCAGTGACTTGGTTACCTTAATAGCCTATGATAGTTTCACAGCGAGTTTGTGGCTCGTACGCAGGTTATACCTGTCCTCACCTGACTTGACCGCCTTCTATAGCAATCTTGTTGATAAAGTAACGCGAGATGTCATCACCCCCGCGTGTGTATGTGGAAGAAATGTTTCAGACTCTTACCAATATATATTACTCATTTATGCTATGTAGCGTTAATCTAACTGACCTAGCGTAGACGATGACTAAAAGCAGCCTTACTCTGCGCTTGAATGTCACCATCTCAAGAAGACGTATTTTCACAGCTATACCGCTCTGACTAGGGCGTATGCGAAGCGGGGAAATTTACATGTTGCCATCTCTTCCTGAAAACTCTACCAAGAAGGCAGGCGAGTCCGAGATCAGCGGGGAGCATAAAATGACCGAACATCTAATACTGCAACCAACGGCCAACCGGTCTGAACAAGCCTCGTCCGCGCCTAGTCATGGTTCCAGCAGCAAGAAGCAATGGTCCTAGCAGTGGGAGACCCAATGCCTCAATTTCACGCATGTATTTAAGTCATTTGGCGATATCTAACTCTTCCAACAGGTCAACATGAGCCCAAACGCCCGTATCTAAGATCTTGGCACATGGATACAATGCTGACTGAATGACGAGAAGAATCACCCTCGTACTACTGCATATTTAACCCGGAAACGCTGACGCTGACGGATGGTCCGACACTCACTTGTACGAGAGGATTCTGTGCACGTTGAGGCATCGCCATCCCCGCCGCAACAGTGAGTTCTGCCTGAATTGTGACAGTGAGATGAGCACGCAGTTTTCTGCTCTTCGACATACATCGACTTTGAATGCTGAAACCAAACCCTTCCGGGAAAGCAACCATCGGATATAAATACAAGGTCGTTCTTCGGACCAAATTGTAAAAGTTCGAGACAGGACAGCTCATAACAAGAGTGTTTTCAAAGAAGGGCCACACTCTACTGATTCAATACTATAACACAACGTAAGAACCCCCGTTCGTCCCACCAAGATTCCGACTTGCTCACAGACATCCCAGGCCGCCACCATGAAATCCACAACGACCATCCTCTTCGCCCTCACATACCACCTCCCAAGCACCCTCGCCGGCATCGCCCCCACCGCCGCCGAAGAATGCGGCGACCTCGGCGTCATGTCCTACACGGCCTCGTCCCTCGACAGCAACGTCGACCCAACCAACATCCGCAAGTGCAGAGAGCACCCCCTGACCCTCAAAGACGGCTCGTCCCCGAACCTACAGGCCCGCGAGTGCTGGTTCGGCGATGAGTACGGCTGCAGCAAGGGCTACTGCTGGGAGTCGTGTGACAGGGAAAAGGGCACCTGGTGTTGGACTGCGTGGAATAAAGGACACGGGAACTGGCGGACTTGTTCTGGCAAGGAGCAGTGCAGGCCCTCGGAGCAGTCTGCTTGTGGGAAGGATTGTAAGGATGCCAAGGAGTGTGGGTGTAGCTGTCACTGAGAGAGTCTGGATGAGCTGAATGGTCTTGTTTTACCTGGCTTTACCTCTGGGAAATCTGGACTCGACTATCGTGGATATCAGTTGCTACGTTGTCTCGCTTCATCTTGATTCTTAAAATCTTGAGCTAGAATGCTCCTTCGACCAGGATAACAAATCTTCACACTCTTTTCCATAGTTTCTATCTTTTTTTCCCCTGACAGAAACTCACCCTTGCTCATCGAGAAACCAAATATATCAAGATGAATTCAGTATCATCCGAAGTGTCTATAGAAGGGATTCAGTCTCGTCCTTAGGTGGAAGTAGTGTTACCAGGGACTTTATCATGGGTCATGAAAAAGTTGGCATGGTATTCTTTGATGTTGAATTGTCTTTTCTATCACACTGAGATAAACTTCCATAACTGTGTGGCTTGGAAATGAGTTTTCTCAATCCTTTTGTGCTACTGTCAAATCATAATCATTGGAAAAAAGGAGTTTGCAATTCCTGGTACCCAACATTAGCGGTCAATCATGAAACAAGGCCAGGAAACCACCCAAAAGGTTCACTTCAGCCTCTTCCCTTACTAGAATGCACTACAACTCACTGCATTACCAACAAAGCCATCGGGTCCGGAGCAGACGCCGTCACCCGGACGCGGCAGGCGGCAGAGGGCCGTTACATCATGGCCGAAAGCTCCGACCGCGCCCCACCAATGGCGCACAACCCCCCGCAGACCAATCACCTGCGACAGCTACAACCCCACCAACGACGACGCCCACACCAAAAGGGAAAGGAACTCGTGCCGGCCGCAGCATCTCGCAGCTCATCCCATCTCCGGGCAGCAAGACGACCAACCAATCACCAACACCGCGCGTCTCTTCTTTCTTTTGATTCCAGGATACTACTTATAAGTTAATTAGATTCCTTTCTTTCTTTTCCACTCTGTCAAGGACAGCAGATATTCAGAAAGAGACCCTTCCTAGATATCACGACCATCGCCATGGCTGAACCGGCGTCCCAGCAACAGCCGTTGGAAGGCGGCAAGATTCTCACGCCAGACGCCATCGCCAACATTCTCTCGTCCGCTTCGGCCTGGGCTGATCCAGGCTCCGTAGACCAGGGCCGCGCGCACAGGACCGCACTGCTGGGCGATGTACTCTTCACTGCGCAGCAGCTATGGAACTGTGGCAGTCAAGAGATTGACATTGTTGCGGAGAAGCTGGGCGATGGAAGCAGAGATGGTGAGAGGCCCTTTGAATTATCATAACTCATGTATCTCACATGAGGAACAGACAGACATACATACTGACACATCCAACAGCATCATGGAGACTGCCCCTGGGAGACTCGGGCATCGTCGACTTCTTCCTCTCTGTCATTTCCACAGAGAACCTCAGACCAGCCTTGAAGAAGCACTCTCTTCGTCTCCTCGGCAACTCATGCGCCGACACAGGTACCAATCTGGTTCACTCATCCTCCCTATGAAGATGTGATAACTGACTTACTCCCCAGATGAAAACCGCGCAAGGGTCGTGGCATCAAACGCAATCACCGCCGTCATCAGCTTCCTCGCCGACGACGCCGCCCTCCCCTTCGCCGTGCCAGTCCTCTACAACATCCTCGTCGACTACGAGCCCGCCCAGATCCAAGCAAGCTCCTCCTCGCTCACCCTCCACCTCGTCAACCTCCTCACCAACCCACGCCTCGCCCACGCGCCGCATCTAATGGGCATCATTGGCAAGATCCTCGCCTTGCTCGCCACGCACGGTAAGCTTCAACTCACCCAACCCCTCCTCCTCACTCAGTCAACTTTTGATGAACCACAAAGCTCACACCCTTCATCCAGAAACCGAAGCCAACTTTGCACCCCCGCAAACACCAACCATCCTCCTCAACCTCGCCCTCACACCCACAACAGACGCAGAAGACTTCGTCTCCCTCACCGCCGTCGCCCTAGCCTACCTAACCCACGCGCCCATCCAAGCCGCCCTCATCACAACCGGCTCCGTCCCCATCCTCCTCGCCACATTCTACCACCTCCAAACCCAGCTCGACGCCCTCCGCGTCGAAGACGAAGACGCCGTCGTCCTCCTCAAGTCCTTACCGCAGTCCTTTATCCAGATCCTCGCCGACGTCTCCTACGCAGACGACTTTTCCCTCCACAACCCCATCGGCTCCCCCGTCCTCGACACCCTCCACTGCTGGCTCGCCACGACAAACACCCACCTCCAGTCCGCAGCCTGCCTCTGCCTAGGCAACGTCGCCCGCTCCGACGAAGCCTCCTACGCCCTCGTCAAATCCCACGCCGTCCACGTCCCCCTCACCGCCCTCCTCGCCACAGCAACAGACACAATGCTCCTCCACGCCGCCCTCTCCTTTGGCAAAAACCTCGCCATCCCCTCCCAGAACAAACCCGTCCTCGGCGACGCGGGCCTCTTCTCCCCCGACATTCTCCCCCGCATCTGGTCCCTCGACGTCAACCCTCAAATCCAATTCACAGCCGTCTCCCTAACCCGCCTCCTCCTCGTAAACACACCCGCCAACGTCCGCCGCCTCTGCGCGCCCCTCTCCCCGGACCCCCTCTCCCCCTCGCACGAGACAACGCACCTCCACCGCCTCCTCGACATGGTCTCCCGCACCGACGCAGAACACACAAAGACAGAAGCCGCCCGCGCCGCCGCAGCCGTCTGCCGCGTCCTGCACACCGCGCCCATCCCGCCCATCCTGCCAGACTGGGACCCGTCCGAAGACGGCTACGTCTTCCGCCCCGAGAAGCCGCTGTCCCCGACGGCCGTGGCCGAAGCAGAACGCGACGGCGGCGCGAAGCGTAGGGAGAAGTTTTACAGGCGGCACCCGGGGCTGAATAAGGCCCTCGCGTTCCTCGTCACGCAGACAAAGTTCCCCGTGCTTCGCAGCGAGGCGTGGTTCGTCTTTGCGCTCATGTGTCGCGCCAAGGACGGCGCTGACATGGTGTTGCGCACGCTGCAAGTTCCCGGTGCGTTTGAGGCGTTGACGGAGGCCGTTACCGGACGGACGTTTTCTAGGGAGGGTAGCAGCGGCAGTACGGATCAGAAGGCTATTGAGGGGGCACCGGCTGCGGGTGGTGATGGACAGGCGGTGGTTGTCAGCGGTGGAGATAATGCTGCCATGGTGGAGGGCCTTGGGCTGGAGCCGCAGCAGGCTGACCCGTCGCAGGCGGCGGGCATGAAGAAGGTTGATCGGGAGAATGGGTTGGTTATGGTGTCGGAGCTGGTTAGGAGGCATGCGGATGAGTTGCCGGCTGTTAGGAGGGCTGCGTTTGAGGAGATGTTGAAAGAGGGTGGCGAGCTGATGGCTGATGAGAAGGGGAAGGGCAAAGCGTAGTTGAGATATTGAAGAACTCGACGCCTGAACGAACTGCTGCTCCTCGAATACTTCGTGATCTCCTAACAATGTGGGAACAGTAACACCCATGTTCTGTACTATTTTGGATCACGAGGTTCGAGAAAACTTAGATCACATCATCACCGAATGGAACCACAATTGGAAATAAAAGCAATCGAATCAATCCTTTAGTCTACTCCAGTCACCTTTGACCCATGATACACGTCACGTCGTTTTCGTACGATGCGTCTTCCTACGCCCGTCGAATAGACGACGGGAACTTGGGCAGTGGTAGGGGGCAGCAATCGACACAAGCGGGCGTGATCAATGCAATAATTTCTTTATGACCTTGTCCTGAGAGTATCTCATTCCACTGAACCCACGCCAGGCCAGAAGATAACAACCCGACCTCCGAAGAACTTTTTTCCCTTCTCCGAAAGTGTTTTTGATGTGTCGAAAGCAGCAGCCGAAAATCCCATTTCCATGCAGCAGCTTAAGCTTAGCTGCACTAGTAGCCGCAGCATCAAACAAAGCCCCCCGACACCACAAGAGACGACAGCAGAGCAGCAGCGGTAGCAAAGACAGAGACGTGCTGCGTTTATTTCTTGGCAGCCTCGGCCTCGGCCGCGTCGCGGGCGCGCTTCTCCTTCTTGCCCTTGTTGCGGGCCTCGGCTCTCGTGTCGCGGAGCTTGCGGTAGGCACCGCCCTCGATGTTCTTGGGAAGGTCGGACTTGGAGATCTCGGAGAAGCCGGAGACGGCCTTGGGGATGGGGAGGGCGGCGGAGAGGTTCTGGACGGTCTCGGTCTTGGCGAGGTCGACCTTGGAGTCGCCCTGCTTGACCTTGTTGGAGCGGCGGGGGAAGACGACGAGGCGCTCCTTGTAGGCCTTGAGGCGAGCGACGTTGGCGGAGAGGGACTCCTCGCTCAGGTTCTTGCGGCGGCCATCGACGGCGATACCGATGGTGGAAGCGTAAAGGCGGGGGATACCAGCGGCCTAGCAGAAGCGCGTTAACTCTCAAAAATTCCCTTGAATCTTTTTCCTGGCACCGGAGCGTGCCCCTCTGTCGCGGGTTGGATTCAATCGTACCTTAAGCTCGTCCAGAGTGAAACCACGACCGGCACGGACCTTGCGGTTGTACTTGATGGTAGGGCATCTCACGACAGGGCGGAGCAAGTCGGTGGGACGGGGAGCGACCTTCGCGGCCTTGGCCTGACGGGCGACACGGCGGCTGTGCTTCTTGCCGGCCTGTTGTGATGTTCCAAGTCAGATCCAAATTCCTGTTTGCCATTTCCATTTCTCCAATCTCGTCTGTTTTCCCGGGGAACAGAAAAAGAGAGAATCCAGCGCGAAATAATCATACCTGGTCGAAGTGCGTCCGGACCCGGCGCTGCCAATCCTTGCGGAAGTCTGTGGTCAAACGGTGTCAGTACTTTGTGTCTCTCGATATGTCGTCGTCTTTCGCAAGTCGTCGCTCTTCGCGTGGAGGGGTGCTCACGGTTGTGGGGGATCTGCTGGTTGTGTGCGATCGCCTGGGAAAAAGTCGAATGTCAGTATTTGCGATGCGATGCCGTCAATGGCGAGTACCGTGGGCGCGTCGACGTACCATTGTGCCTGTATTGCGCGATCAAGGGGTTAGTAGTCCGGATGGGCCGTCGTCGAGATGCTGCTGCAGGCTTCGAGAATTCCTTGAGAGGGACGAGTCAAAATTTCTGGAGGGCATGAAAACCCTACGAAAGGTAGGTACGTACTAGAGGTTTTTGGGGTGGGACAGTCGCAATTGTTGATTGGCTGTGGGATCCACTTGCTGTGGCAGGGCGAAAGACAGGCGACGGCCGAACCCTATTCCGGATTTTTCGTCCTGTGGCTGAGGAGGATGGGTTTTCGGTGTGCAAGTGGGTACGCGTTGTCTTGCAAGAGACTGTCCGCGAAAGCTCATTCAGTCCTGCTGAGCATGCAGATATGGCAACGTGGGTAGATTCTCTTCTAAAGTCCGAAGTTTTGGTTAAGGTACATTGTGTCACTCTGATATTTTTCTTCAATGCCCTATATAGGCAATGACCATTCTGTCAGCTCCGCTAGACATTGAATCTCTCATTGCCTTCAACGCTCTGAAGAGCATGGTGTCGCAATTGGACAATTTGTCTATGTGAGCCATAAGACAACAGCTTCGCTGAGCATCTTGGTTCACGTGTCCTGCCACTGTGTGCTTGTGGTTGACTTCGTCATCATCTGTTCACTGACCGTCGTATCACGATTGGTGTTCTATTTTCACCAGCTACGTGTACCCATCTCACCCAGCAAACCTTAGATGGACAGTCGATAATGCAGCTACGCAGCATATCTAGTAGTTGCGATGCTTCAATCACAAATTCTCGAAAAGCCAAAGATCGTGCCTACCTTGAGAAGACGTCCCGAACCCAAAGTGTAATTAAGGTACTCAGGTGGTCATCGAGAGGCTTCGGTGCTTGCCTTGCTTCCCTCATGAGATCGCCCTTCTCTTCGACTTGCAACTTTGGAATGTCGCTCCTTCTTCGAGATCGAGGTGCCTTCCCGTCATGGTGTACTTGCCAGGTTAGTAGGTATTAGCCCGGCATCCGGAAGGTGCTGTCAGCTAAGGTAGTCAGCTGCTTCCCGTCCGTCGTTGAATTCGAGATGCACTGCAAAACAGATACGTACTTTTTACCCAGGCAAGAGCTCCAGTCCGCCTCAGGCACATCGAAAAGGGTCGTCATACACGTGACCCCAGGCACCTCCAGGTCACCTTGAGGCCAAATTACTGATTGCGGCGCACCTTGGGAGATTGCAGAATATCTATATAATGCCCCGCTGTCCTCCCGTCTTTGCACTCTTTTTTTCTCTTTTTCTTCTTCATACTTACCTTGATGGGCGTGCTGGGGATCAAGAAATCCGGTACGCAGAGAGGGATGCCTGCATTGCACATCGTGGAGCCCTCCTCTCTCGATAGCCCTTCGGGGCCATCGCTGTTGTAATTTTTGATTTTCAAACCCAAAACACTTTTCATTGTGTGCTCTGCCTGGTGCAGGGTCATGGAGAAGAGTCTTCCGAACCATTCTGATTGTATTGTGACTTAACTGTACTACGTCCGCACTTCAATGGCAATTCTAAGTTCATATAGCTACGGCAGTAGAGCTTAGAGCTCCATCACCCAACCTGCAGAGCCTCACGAGCTTCAATCGCAGCACAAGGGAGGTTTGGGTACTCTCTGGATTAGGTACTATGAAGCTTCATTTCTTAGGACGACTCGGCTATCTTTATGTCCATCCCAGCGGCCCGCAGGAGGTTAGACATACGGATAGATATTCCAAGATTGTGCCACGACGCTGCAGGCAGAGCTTGCCTCTATTCTGGCATTTTGTAGATACTCCCGACCAGGGCAACACGCTCTCTTCAGGTCTGGCTTGATTAAACCAAGCAATAAAGCTTCGCTACGGCAATGACCTTCATGTTCCCAAGAAAATTCGATGACTGCTATTGAAAGCAAATATTCTGTCCAGACATCGTGATGTTGCCACGATTGAACTGGCCTCGACTCCCTTGCAAAATCAATCCTCTCCAGCTCCTCCATCGACGACATGTACAATCGCCAGCTGCACCCAGCCGAGCCCATCTGTCCTCGCACAAGCAGTCAAGCACACGGGCAGCTCAAAAAGCTCCCTTCCCGACCAGCTGGCCCGTCGTCGTACGAGAATAGCTCCCCGGGACAAACCGCACCAATCACAACCCTCCAAAAAACCATGCAAGCCCAGGTCCAAGAGGACCCATTTAATTCCCAGAAGCTCCAAAAAAATCTCATGACAAGTGCTTTTTTCGGCTTCTGCGTCGCCCCCCGTCCCATTCCCCCGTGTTCCGAGCGAGAGAGAGAGAGAGAGAGAGAACGTAACCTCGCCGACCTCTCGTCCAAAGGCCAATCGAATCGAAGAGCCTCAATCAACTCCCGATCGCCTGATTCTCCGCCCAGCCCACCGGTTCAATTATCGAGACTGCCCGTTGACGAAACCACCTGCTTCCGGCCCAAGATACAGCAGCACAATGGCATCTAGAGTAGGCCCCCGGAGCGCCTCGGACGCAACGCGCTTCACCTCAACCACCCCGCACGCCGCATCCAAGAGCTCTCCCACATCAGCAGCAGCAACGACAGGTGCATCGACGACAGGGACGACAACGACGACAGCATCATCAACACCGGCGTCAACGTCACCACAGCCTTCCAAGATCCCCGGCCGGCAACCGGGCGAGAGCCCCGAAGACCGCGTCCGCCGCCTCCGCGCAGCCCACGAGGCGGCGCGCAAGGCCCAGACCTCGAGCGTCGACCACGTTATTGGCGGCAGCCGTCGCTTCTTTGATGTCGCGCACAAGTTCACCGTCCTCGGACTGGTCGGGTTCACGGGTATGTCTATAAAACCCCTCGCACGATTATTCAGGCACAGTCTGTAGGGCAAACTTGGGATTCTCTCGAAGGAGCCCAAGGAATAAGAAGACGACGGAAGCAACATGAACCTAAGCTAACACCCCAAAAGCAATCGCAGGCCTCGTCTCCGTCTACTCCGTCTACGACATGGTAACCTACAACAAGCAACGCCGCACCGACTTCATCGAAGCCCAGCGCCAAATGGAAGACGACGCCCTCGCCACGGCCCGCCTCGCCTTCATCAAGGGCACCGCCACCGACAACGAAATCACCCTCGTCGAGGAGGCAAACGCCCTCGCCCGCGAGACGGGCGTCAAGCTTCCCCCCTTGCTCTCCGCCCCGACTCACACCACGGGAGCCGAGAAGATTTTCGGTACGGGCCAGCAAAGGACGGCGGCCGATGCCTCGACGACTGCGACCGCAATCACCCCCGCATTCCCTACGACGTCTGAAGCAGCCCCCGCCCCGAAACAAAAGAGCAGCGGCAGCAGCTGGTGGCCCTTTGGCGGCAGCAGCAAATCCGATGCCGCAGAGACCAGCTGGAGCGAGGAGGACGAGTCCTCTGGCGTCCGCGCCACGGACCTCGCGCGCGCCGTCGAGGACAGGAAAGAGTTCCTCCAGGACAAGGCCAAGGCCGCCTTTGAGCGCGAGAGGGAGAACCAGCGCCGAGGCGGCCCGCTGGACCAGGTCGGTCTGCCGCAGGAGAAGAAGGCCGAGAAGAAGGGGTGGTGGTAGAGAATCCCCCCGCTTTCTCTGCATCTCTGTCCGGTTTTCGGACGCACCATTCTTGGACGGCCGGTGTTATAATATGATACACCAGAGAGGTGGGACCGGTGGAGGACGGCGCGGTCTATGTATCTGAATGTGACGATATCTGGTGCATTGAAACAAAAAGGAAGTCGGCTGTGGAGGCAAGTGTACGAAAAACAACAATCTGCACCCCTAGACAGAGAGTCGGAGAGACGGATACCTACGTCGGTACAAAATTGGGGCGCGTCAGGAGAGAAGAGGTTGAAGGCCGGCCGACTTTACCACGGCGAGGAGGATGAAGAGGAGGCTGCCGAGTGTCACTGTATCATACGTGTTAGACTGGATTGTGCATTAGACGGCGTCCGGTTTACAAAGTTTTGCATGCGGGATAGGGGGAGAAATAACATCACCTTCGTCTCTGCACAACCAAGTTCTGTTCTATCTCGAAGCATCCCGATCCATGCACTTCACCACGTCTCGGGCCACATGCTTGACTCACGCGAGGATGGTCTCTGAGAACCCCTCCATCATTTAATAGGCAGTCACATGTGCAGGCTCATAATGTTTAAACAATGAACAGTGCTGGCGCATTTTCGCCGCATGATTATGTCCTTTGGACCGGTATTATGTACAACCGCGAAAACGCTTCAAGAATGCAGGCTTCCGCCGAGTCTCAGTCTGCCACGCCGGGCCAGTTGACTCCCCAATCCCAAGTGATGCATACCGGTAACCTATGGACCGTGAAAACAGAGCTTGCCCAACAAGCCCCGAGCGAGTGTAAAAATATGTGCGCTAAATGTGGTATTACCGCCAGCCGAGACTCCCGTGGCTCTGGCACTCCGTCCCGAAATCAAAACTGCCGTACCATGTGGACCGGAAAATGCCATCCGGATTTGATCAACTCGATCGCTTGACGATCTTGAGATTCTTCCAAACACCTTTCGTCGAATTCTCTTCGTTTTTCTTCACTCGTCGGACGTCGCCTGCGCTCTTTGCGGGGCGTCTGCACCGCCAAATCATCAGGCAAAAGGATTTCTTGCCCGTTCTATGAGACAACAATGTGATTAAAGTGGCCCGGCACCTTGAGGCGGCACTTTTCGCAATCAGCACGGTAACCGATGCTAAAGCTCTTCTTCATGCCAGGCTGCCAGGTCCACGAGTTGACAGTGTGCCTAGATCGAATATGTCCCTTGCGTCCCGGCGAGGGTGTTGCCGGCGCTGACGTCGTTTCAAGGGGGCCGGCGTCGATGGTGGTGGTGACGGGATCATCGCTCATCATGTGCGAGTGATCCTCCACCTCCATCATGCCCATATCGTGATGGTCGTGTCCGTTGAGGGACGACTGTTCCAAGCGCGCAGTCAGGTTAGACGGGAAGCCGTTGTCGAGAACCATTCCTGGGGGACTCAGGCTTCCGCTGCCAAGGTGGCTCGTCGAGTCCTCGCCCTCGCTAATAGGCGACGGCAGACGGCGATTCTGGACAGCGTGCCAGTCGTCGGTGCCTTCCATGGTACGGGGAATGGAGCGGGACTCGTCGCTGCCGAAGCCGGCGTGCATGTGGCCCATATTCACGACGCCGGTACGATGGCTGACTGCGGGTCCCGGGCCACGCCAGTCGCGGCCCGAGGAGCCGCCATTCATGAATTGGGAGGCAAAGTTTGGCTGGATCGGGGTGGGCATACGGCCATTGACAGAGGCGGGCTGGTCCGAGCGAATGTGTTGCTGCGGGACAGGCGGCGGCGACATTGTGTCCATCATGTCCATATCGCGATCGGGCTCGGTCGGACCAAAGGGTGAGGGCTGGCAAGACATGGGTGCGGGTGACGACGACCATGGCGAGAAGTGTGACCTGGGCTGTTCCTCCGAGTCTGAGTCGCCTGGCGTCAGAGTACAAGGAGCCGCATTGAGTGGTATGACGGGCGTAGACCAGCGCTTCGAAGACGTCGGCGATGTTCGGAGGGGTAGACATTGGAGGCGTTTCTGTTTCGTGGGGAAAAAAAAGTCAGCCGCGGTGTTCCAGATGGTAATGAAGAAGAGGGTCTAGCAAAAGAAGGGATGATTATAGCGTACGTTTCTGTGTTCACCAAAGCTAAGAGTGCCATTTTGCATATCCTCCTCATCGTCACGTCCCCTCTTCCGAATGAGGTCTGCTGGGTGATGCTGGATGCCGAACATGGTGAAGGTCGTGGTGGGGAGCAGGAGGGGTGCGATATGGGTGTGTGTAAACGGGATTGGATGCGACGTTGGTGGACGGCTAGCGGATGAAATGCAGAGGCGTAACTAGCAATAACAAGCGTCGAGACTCTGATTTTGGTATGTAAAGTTGATTATGTCGTCGGTATGTTGAAGAAGAGAAGATGGACAGGACAGCACAGGACAGGACAGAATGACGATGGATGGCACCGAGTGTGCCGTGGCTGCCTTTCCTCTGCTCGTGCACAGGCTGGCGGTGGTGCTTGCGCTCGTGCTGGGTGCTGGGTGCTTGGTGCTGGTGCCAAGTTGCCCCGGACTGAAGGTGCCGGGATGGGCGGAGAGGTTGGTTGGTTCAAGGTTGGTGGCAGGCGCGGGCGTAGGCGCAGCTGCGGGTGCAAAAGTGACAGGCAGTGGTATCCGAAAAAGGGAGGGGCCTCGTATTTGGCCAGGCGGGTTATTGAATTCTATCTGGTCGCTTCTGTCGCTACTGCGTGCTGTGTTGGATATTGTGCGCAAAGGGAGGCTGAGTCGAGGTAAAGCAAGGCGATGCTGCGATAGTGTGTTCGTAGAATGAGGGTGGGAAGAGGGGGAGAAGAAGCAGAAGGAGAAGAAGAAGTTGGGGACTCGGAGGAGGTTGACGTTGCGCAGCGCGCGTTGGGTGGTGGTGGTGGTTGTGGTGGCAGGTGCGTGGTGTAAGTCGCACCCGATGAGGCAAGGCTTCGATCTGCACAGCACCTGCGGTCTGCGGTCTGCGGTCTGCGGTCTGCGGTCTGCGGAAGCTGTGGTCGGTGGGCTGCCTGCAGTAGTTCACCTGGGGAAGGACAGGATGAGGTGGGAAGATCCGGTGGTTTGGTCGTGATTGGAGATGCTGCAGTTGTTGTCCGACACCAGCTTTCCTTTTGTTCTTTTTTTTTTCTTGTTCGATGTATCTGTACTGAAACGGGTGGCCGAAGATGGCGTTGTAATTTCGATGACAGTCCAAGGTAAGGTAGATTTGTATCTTGGAGAGACCAGAAAAAGCCAAACCGAATTGTCGGGAAGGGGGGCAGTCGCAGGTAAAGTAATCCGCCAAGGAAGCAGAGACAGAGGAATACCGTCCGTACCTTCCACACCAGGAAGCAACTTGAGCACCTTCAGGTACTCCGTAATAGCAAGCCACCAAGGAAACCTCGAGAAAAAAGCTGGAGAAATTGACCAACGGGCGACACGAGACAGCAGGAACGCCAGAGACCGGTGACGGCAGCCTGCCAGAAAGCGGAATAGCGCAAAGACGCCACAAAAGGGGGAAAAGCAAGAGGCACCAAGAGGCACCAAGAGGCTCCTTCCTTCACAAATCGCCTCACCTTACGGGTACTGCGAGCTCCTTCCTCCCTTTACAGTGGGACTTTCTCAATCTCTCTCTTTCCCGTCTTCTCTCTCTCTCTCTCTCTCAACTTTGGCAACCTGAGTACCCGTGCGGTAGGTACCTACCGGGCACCTCAGTCTCTCAGAGCGGAGGAAAGCACTGTGGAAAAAAAAGGGCCAAAGCAAGCAGGAGCCGAAAAGGCCCAGACCGTCAAGGTTCTTCCCGGACCAACGGTTTAGGGGACGTACCACCTCCACCTCCACTTTGCACCCCTAAAGTTTTTTCGGAAAGCGCAATGGATGGGAAGGCGGGAAGTCGGAGACTCGGAGGTGGAGACAGGGAGGATGGGGAGGGGCGCTAAGACGGCGCTAGTTCCACTCTGTTGGAATTCAACCCGCCGGGAACCTGGGAAAAGAAAGACAAGAATGGATTGAGAAAGATAACAAAAGATCTTGTTCAACGGAGGGTGGTTGTATTCTTGAGGAATGCGATGGCGTCAGTTTGCATATCAAGAGATCGTAGGGACCGTAGGAAGGGAGGGCTGATCGTCGTAGGTAGGTATTGCGCGCTGGGATATGAATATTCATTGAAGCTCAATGCGGATGGGGTTCGAGTGTTGAACTGTTCTCCCTGGAAATGAGGAAAAGACCGTGACAAGGCAATGACTTGGTCTCAAATTGTCCAAGCAGATTGAGGAGGATTGGCCACGACCGCAAGACAAGGACAGGACTGATAATGGGATCGGAGAATAAGAAGAGACATGCAACAGTCGAATGGCAAGATGCGAAAGTGTGCTATAGGGCAAGGTGCCTCTAGAAACGAAAAAGAAAAAGAAAAAAAGAAAAAAAAAGGGGACAAGGTGCTTCTATTCCGACCAGCCCGATATCTACCAACCCAAGTGACCGGGGGCATCTTCAACTTCATGTGTAACCTACTGACGAGGCTCGAGTTTCTTCTCTCTTTCCTGTTCCCTCGATTACCACCAAACTGTAGTATTCCATGTGTCGCGTGCCCCTCTACCACAAACTAACATGACAACTTGCTCACCTCACCTCACCTCACAGACCAACATCACAAACTTGCTCTCGCTCCTCGCGTCAAAACGGGCGGGCAAAGACCATCTACAGATCCCTGATGAAAATCAATCTGTCCGGACCGTGACTGACTGACTGCTGACTGAATCAAGGGCCAACCCGTTCCATCACCTCGTAGAACCTCTTCAAGTAGAGATCAGGAGCAAAACGGCCGCTGAAGAAGACGGAGGGATCTGTGCCAAAACATAGTTACCAGGGTCACGTACGTTCGTTCGAGTCGACGTGCCTTTCTTGCCGCTGCATGGCGATTCGCTGGTTCGTCCCGCCTGCTTGCCTTCTGGCACCCTGTGGCATATTCACATGTATGTCTGGAGGAGGGTGCCATGCCTGGGCTTTTTTTTTTCTTTTGTTGTTGTTGTTGATCGTTGAAAGAGGAAAGCTGAACAGGTCACTCTAGGGGACGTGGGGTGTTGTGGTTGTCGTGGTGGTGGTGAGGGCTGCGTTTCAGGATTGCTTCATCAGAGGCCGGGGTGGGTGGGATGAAAGCGGTTGAGTGGGCGGTGGGTTACACACCAAGGTTTTCTACCACGAGGGGGGGTGTCACGGGGATATTGGAGTATCGTTGACTGATTACTACTCGTTTACGAATGTCCTTTTGGGACTGGTGATGGTGGATGGGAGGCGAGTCCCTAGAAAAGATTACGTTGCGAAAAGAGGTTGAGGTTGGGCCTGAGTCTGAGCCTAAGCGGTGATCTTACGTCGTCGTTGAGGTCATCGTCTGCAGACAGTTTTCCCAAACACCAGGCCTTCAGTCTGCTCGATGACGATGATCGCTACCTAAAGAATGTCTATCGATCTCAGCCAGGGCCAGAAGAGAAGTTTGGTTCCGCGGTATCATGGAAGACGTTTAGGTAATTAATCGAGTTTCCTGTGCGAAAGGCCGGGCGTATCTTTGCTTTCCGGCCACCTCGCGCATCTCGAAAGATCTTTAGACGCGAATCAGACCCAGACTTGAGCAATATCTGGTGCCTTCGTACGAGTACCAGTCGACCCTGGCGATGGGAAAGCGCACAGCTCTCCATCATTCGGCCTGAGCCATGCCGCAAGCCTCGATCGCCAAGAGTCGGCCTCTTTAATGAGCAGCACGGATACAGCAGGTTCCAACAGCTGGTACTACCGCAACTTTGCGTCAAAAGGCAGAATAAAGCAATGACCAAGGCAGAGTGTGTGTCGTTGTCGTCGTTGTCGTCGTTGGTGTTCATGGTTACTACATATATCACGTGCGAGTACACCCCGTAAAACACATTGTCGTTCATGTCAGAGTCGTATGTCTCAGCCTCTCTATATTGAAGTGTCGGTACTACGGCATGTAACCGCCGTCAGAGTGCCATCGACGGGATCCATACATGTATATACGATTTACCCATGTCTGCCAAAATATGGCAGATTACAACAGAGAATCCTGCCGTGTCCGGGCCCCGGACGTGCACCAACAACCGCCCAGACGGACCCAAGCCCCACGAGTCGTTCACTCTAAAAGGCAATAGTTGAGACTGGTCGGACGGGCCAGCCGAACGCACAGCCGTGCGTCTGTTCTACCGAGGGCTTTGGGCTCTCGTTCTGCTTTGGTAGCTGAGTCACGGTTGACTAGGAGGAACGAAATCAGATGCCGGTCTATTGGCATCTAAGTCCGCTGTCTAAGGAGGGTTGGTGTTCTACGGCTCTTCGCATAGTGATTGACAACCTAGTTTGAGTGACAAGTGACAAGATTGACTTTTTGATAGGTCTTGACAGATGCTCGAGACAGCAGATATTAGAGTCTGAGTTGCGACTGCCTATATTCGAACCGGGTTGCCAACTCCAGCCTCACCATCACTCAGCCTCCTTTTTTCCTTCCCCGTTTTTATTCTACTTGTGTTCAAAAGAAAGACCAGTCTCTCCATTCTGATCGAAACCGATATCTATGGATACTGATCCCGGAGCGTATCTATTTCGATGAGAGCCAAGACTTGATCCACGAGACTAGCCAGAGCCAACGTCGATCTCTCCAGGTCTCGTCAGAAAGCCTGGGCCATCATAGGTTTCACCTCTATTTGCGGCCATCCACTTCCCTGATCACGGAGCTGATACATTGAATTCTCGTTGCAAGTTGAACATGACAGCGGAGAAGAACGTGCCAAGTCATGGTCCAATTCAGCCTTGTCCTTCAATTACCCTGCCCGGGAGGTTGAAAGTGGATTCCCGGCCTCTTTCGATGCGATGCGGGGCGGGGGTGGGGGCTGGAGATGCAACGGCGCAGGCGGACACACCTGGAACGCTCACCTTGATCCAGTGCCGACATCGGTACCCCACAAACCGAGGTGAGGCCTCGGTGAGCCCGGGGAGGGAATTGGCCAATGAGATGTAGTCAATTTCTCACAAAAATTCTTTTTTTTTTTTCTTCGTGTCTTTTCCTCTTTTTGACGAACGAAAGAAAGAGGGGCGCTTAACGCTAACGGCGTCTCACCTCTGTTCAAGGCCTCCAACGTCAGGAAGCACATGTAACACCTTTCTCATCTTGTCCGTCTGACGTTATGAGACTCGATGTGACCATCTAGGGGTTTGAATGGTTTTCGATGCAACCATTGGAAGCAGGAGGGAGAGTTGTGGGCGGTGAAGGAGAAGAGAGGAAGAATATTTCCGCTGTATGCTGCTGCTGCTGGTACTGGTGCTGGTGCGTGTATCTATCTGCCCGGTTGCCCCTCCAAGTTTTTTTCTCCTTTCTGCCCCGCCATCGGCGCTTCCTGACTCTCGCCCGCTTTTGGCATTGAGGTGGTCTTCTTCACTGCGTCACCGTCGCGTATCGCCGTCATCCACTCTGCCCATATTTCCGTGGATAAATTTTGGTCAGTCGAAAATGAGATGGATGGATGGATCTGTGACGTCGATGGACCCAAATTTGTGCGGACGACCTCACTTTTGGAAAGGCGAGAATAGCAGAAAGTAACTCGCATAGGGAAGAGTCGTCCAGTAGATACCCCGCCATGTTGGACTGAAGAATCGTCCAGACAGAAGGAGACTGGGCACACGTGGGATGGGAAGCGCCAACAGCGCATTTGAATGCAAATTGACCATCATATCGTCCTAATCAGGTATCTCCTGTCCACTGCAAAGGAGAAGAAAATACTTTTGGACTTTGCCCCGGCGGGACTGCCTCCGAAAAAAGTAGAGGGCTCCGCGTCCACCGCCGCCAGTCACAAACCACACAAACACTGACCAGACCTGACCAAGTCGTCACACAAAGGGGACAGGAACACTACGTTTATTTGGCTTTGTGAATTTTTTGAATTTTCTACCTTGGACAAAAAAAAAAAAACCCACTTTCTGAGTCACCGCCCACCACAGTCATCGACCAAACACCCCGAAAAAAAAAAAAAAAAAAGGCCACTACCGGACGCTCCCCTTCCCCTGTGGACGAACATTCATCCTCCCACTTCTCCAAGCTCGGTCAACGACGGCTCAAGCAGCAAAACCATTCACCACACGATACCCAGTCAGATCCAATAGGCGACCGGCTGTTCGTCCGCTCTCTTTCGTTGTTAATATCAGTGTAAGCTTATTTCCTTACCCTCGATTGGGCTTTCTGGTTTTTTTTTTTTTTTTCTGCGCGGGAGATC